ATGAGGAGATCGGGAGTTCTAGTCCTGCTTTAGGCACCTAGGTGAGCTTGGGTCAGCCATTTTCTTTCAGCTCCAGGAAGGAAACAATGGCAAACTTACTTCTGAAAAACATTGATGGGCCATCTGCTAAAATAAAACCAGGCCATGGCACACACCTGAAAGTAAATCAGGAAGCCTGTAATTGTGGAGTCTGTCTGGCAAGAAGAAAGAATGCTTATCCACAGGAGATAAGCATGTGTAAATCTTGTAACAATCCTGGCTAACTGGAAAGCTGATAAAAGTAACACGAGTTAGCCAACTTGCAGACCTCAGCTAAAAGTTAGGCCTGCAGCAAATCAAATGTGTATTAGATAATTCTAGGGCATTCATTAGCCAAGGCTTGGGAATAGGGACAGCTAGAGACCAATAGAACAAATTGTAGAATTATTACTAAAATGTTTATTAGATTATATTTCTTATTATCTCACTTTGTCCCACCTTCTCCTTTAGTGAAAATTATTAAAACTTATTCAATCCTTTGTTCTTGGCTCTTGACATTTTGACCAGGAGCCCTTTTCCTTTATTGGAGTACTCCAATAAAAAGCAATCAAAAAACCTGCACCTCATGTCTGGCGTCTATCATTGGCTTTGGCACCAGGCTGAGACCCGAATTGGGGACAATACATTACCAAGAAAACTGCAGGGACTTTTCCAGGCAGTCTCCAAGAATCTGAATGGGAAAAAGGAAAAGAAACAGGCTCTTGCCTTTCAACGGCAATATTCTCTATGGATTGACAGAGTTTGTGAAAGCAACAGAGGACAAGGATAGATGGAGGCTGACTTGCCTTGGTTAGGTTAGTTGCAGTAAAAAATGGTTGGAGACAGGTCCAGATTCATTTTGTGCATTCGTGTCCTGAACAAACAGTGGGACATTTTCACGCAGGAGAAAAAGGGGCATGTGATTGCTCTATTTCAGGGGTGTCAAACTGAAGGCCCGGGGGCTGGATCCAGCCTACAGGGTGCTTAGATCTGGCCCATTGAGCCACTCTGGAAACAGCAAAGGACCAGCCCATGGTGCGTGCCTCTGCCAGCAAAAATGAAGCTCAGGAGGGCCACAGGTGGCCCTCGAGAGCCTGTTTTCACTGGCAGTGCACTCGGGCCACGCCCACCCCAGCCCCCTGAGGCCAAATACAACCTTGATGTGACCCTCAATGAAATCAAGTTTGACACCCCTACTCTATTTGATTCTTTAGGTTTAAGCCAATTATGCATAATAACAAAGCTGGAAGGGACCTTAGAGGTCTTCTAGTCCAACCCGCTGTACCAGCAAGAGACTCTATACCATTCCAAACAAATGGCTGCCCAATCTCTTCTTAGAAACCTCCAGTGTTGGAGCACTCGCAACTCCTGAAGTCAAGGCATTCCCCTGGTTAATTATTCTCACTGTCAGGAAATTTCTCCTTAGTTGCAAGTTGGTTTTCTCCTTGATTAGTTTCCACCCATTGCTTGAGAATAAATTGTTGGGCACCATTTGTAGGCCACTTCAGCTCTACAAAACTGGTGAAAAAGAAAAAAGTGGGGTTACGAAATCTCTTAAAATAGTGTCCTTGATAAGCCTGAACTGAAAGAACAAACTGTATGACAAGATAAGGGCATTTTATCCTAGGTATAGATTAAAAAGGAAGGATCAGTGAATTCAAAGCTGACAAAAACACTCTTAATAAAAAATATCTAATCTAGGTTTTTTGGGTGGGGTGGGGTGGGGGAAGAGAAACACACACCACCCCATCCAATAATAAGCTCTACTTCTGAGCTGGAGTTGGGATTAGGGCATAAAAGGTTGTAGAATAAAAGGGACATCAGAAAACATTTCCTGTGCTGTGCCTCCTCCAGTTAGTTTCCCCACAAGGAAGGAACTCGCCTATTTTATCTTCTTTGCAGGTAATGTTATCATCCTTTCTAAGCCTATTCTTGACATCTTTATATTGTGGATATTCTTAACTACCTGTTTGTGATCTGCAATGATAAAATGCTGTTTCAGCAATGATTTTTTAAAAAAACTGTGAGAAGTTTTGCAGCTCTACGAAGGCATAATATGTTGAGAAGACATTTTGAAAGTTTTTGGTTGTATGTTTCCTTCAGGATGGCCATTTCTCCCTGCTTGTCACTTTCAGCATTTTTCATAGCTCCCCCAGCTATTGTTGGTGAGACCAAAATATTCTGTAGCTTCAATTATTCAGACACTGTGATGGTTGGTGATTTTAGAAGACATTGTAAGTGACCACAGAATCACTCAAGACTGGTCTTGTGCAATTTAATATTTGTTCAGTCTATTCAGGCTGAAACTAAGAATGGCTTGATTGGTTTGTTGATTAATTGATTGATTGATTACATACCATCAAGTCAGTATAGATTTTCTTCAGGATGTCTCCCAGTATGAGGTTTATGTCTGTGGAGATTCTCAGTCATCTAGGTCATGGTTATCCCAATGATACTTACTTTAGAGGCAACTAGACTTTCTCTTTCTTTTTCTTTGAAGACGTTTCACCTCTCATTCATGAGAGGTGAAATGTCTTCAAAGGAAAAAAACACCACAAAATCCAGTTGCCTCTTGAAAAAGCAGCTTTGGGACAATATGAGGTTTGCTTAATTGCTATTTTACTACAACTGATTGTATAATTATGTGCCATCAAGTCATTTTTCAACCCTTGCCACACCAACTTCCACAATATTGTGCTACAATATTTCGATAAAGACTCTTAGTCATCCAGGCCAAGGTGTCTAAAATCTAAAGATTAATTTCTCTGACCAGATGAAGCTGCTTGGATGAACAGCAAAATATCTCAGACTAGCAAAAAAAAATTAGTCCAGTTGCTATGATTTAAACTTTAGACTTTAGATACATTGGCCTGGATAGTTAAGAGCCTCCATTGATATGCTTTCAAAGAATCCTGCCATGCTCTGCTTCTCCTCCTAACAACTGTATTTACCCTGGGATCCTTTGACTTCAGCTATGAGGACTTCCTCATGAAACACTGGAATTGGGTGGCTGATACATTTAAATAAAGAATGGAATGGAATGGAGTGGAGTGGAGTAGAGGGAAGTTTAGTTTAGTTTATTGTCATTACACCTTGTACAATCATCTTCAGTGTACATTATAGCATGGTATATAAAATCATACATTGCAATGTCCTACCTGTCAATGAATACTTCAGCTTTAACCATAACAACACAAGAGCACACAACAGATACAAACTCAAAGTAAACCGCACCAAACTTGATTGCAGGAAATACGACTTCAGCAATAGAGTGGTCAATGTCTGGAATACTCTACCCGACTCTGTAGTCTCTTCCCCAAACCCCAAAAACTTTAACCTTAGACTGTCTACTATTGACCTCACCCCTTTCCTAAGAGGTCTGTAGGGGGCGTGCATAAGCGCACCATTGTGCCTACCGTCCCTGTCCTATTGTTTCTCTTATTCTTTTATTTTTCTTATATGTACCCATTTCATATATTAACAACTATGTATACACTTGTACTTATTATCTTGTAAACAATTGACAAATCAAATAAATAAATAAATAAATAAAATAAATTATGACTATGAAAATAAACCCAAAAACACATCCTTCACATTCTTTACATTAAATTGAAAATCCCTGATATTGATTTATATTGCACTATACAATAAAATTCAGTACTGCTCTGGGATAGAAGCTGTTTTTCAGCCTATTTGTCCTTGTTTTTATTATCCTGTACCATCTGCCAGACGGTAATAGTTCAAAAAAAGGGTGCCCAGGATGAGATGGATCTTTGAGAATGTTTTGAACTTTCTTAAGGCAGTGGGAGCTATAAACTCTTCCAAAGAGGGGAGAAGGAAACCAATGATCTTCAGGGCAATGATGTTAAGTAGAATAATTTTAGAATAGAATAATATTAGAATAAAATAATACGGTGACATACCACTTATTATTCTATTAATCATATAAACAGCCACTGGCCCAAAGCTCAGTTATCTTTGCTCTCTTTGAAGCTAGACATAAATGAAATCAAGGCTTATTTATTTATTTATTTATTAAATGTCTGCTCACCCATCTCACTGATACAACTCTGGGTAGTTTGCAATGTAAGAAAAGATTAAAATATACTAAAAACAAACAAACCCAAGGACAATTAGAAAAAATTGCATTGAAAAGCTAAAAACCAATACGATGTTGGCCTGGGAATAGAGGTCTTCTCTACTCAGTCAGTCACCCCCAACAAGCAAACCACTGTTGGGGTCTAGGTGAAGTTGTTAGGGCAGGATTGTGGAGGAGGACATCCAACTGAAGAATATTCCAGGAGGTGGGGCCACACAGAAGCCTCTTCTCTTGGACTCTGCCAGCTGAATTTTTCTTTTCTTTTCTTTTTGGCCAATGGAAGTAGGCCCTTTCCACTGGAATAAGTGAGATGCAGTAGCTCCCAGTATCTGAGCTTAGTTGTTTTCTGGCAGATGTTTCATTAACTAAACTAGGTAACATCATCAGTGCTATTAAAGAATGTAATTCATCTCAAGACAAATTCCTTGTGTGTCTAATCACACTTGGCCAATAAGGGAATTCATTCATTCATTCATTCATTTACATTCTACTCACTTGCCCTTGTAAGTATTGGTGGGAGTCAACATTACAGACTTTTTGGTTGGGCTGTTTTATTGTTAGCTTAATAAGGAATGCCTTGATTGGGGTATTATTTACTTCTTGATTGTTGGTCTGATATAAATTTTACTACCTTAGCACTGATGCTGCTGCCTTGTTTGTTATTGAAATGTCTGCAAGAAAACAATCAAGCTCAGAGAGCACCAAAGACTCCTCATTTCGAACCTGAGCTATAAATATTCTCCTTGGCTGGTATTCCCAATATCTGTGAATGTCCATTGTAAACCAGTCGATTTTTAAAATTGAAGGGGAAAATCTGTATTATCATATTTCAAACTGAATTGTTCCACCCTTCCTTGTTTCAACTATTGCAGAGACAATTATGCCTTTGAAAGAATCCTTCCATGCTCTGCTTCTCCTCCTAACAACTATATTCATCCTGGGATCCATAGCCTTTAGCTATGAGGACTTCCTCATGAAGCACTATGACTTCCCAAGAAGCATCGTTGGGAGCCACTATTGCAATGCCATGATGCAAAGCCGGGGAATGACCAAGCCCAAATGCAGGCTAGTCAATACCTTCATACATGACAGCAAGGCTTATATCCTGGATGTGTGTGGTAGAAAAGGAGTATCTTATGGGCATGAACTGCGCCATAGCATAAAGATATTTTCAGTCACCACCTGCACTTTGAGAGGTTCCAACCCTCGAGCACCTTGTGTCTACAAAGAAAATATTTTACCCCAAAACATAGTCATTGCATGTTTGGATGGAAAGCCCGTACATTATGAGGAAGGACATTTTGCAGTGGTGCATGAAGATGAAACATCTGATTAGCATTGAGATATCAACTCTTCTGTCAATTCCTCTGTGTTTACTCCTGAAGTCAGGAAAAGAAATAATGGATGGAAACTTATCAAGGAGAGATCCACCTAGAACTAAGCAGAAATTTCCTGTCACAGAGATCAATTAATCAGCAGAACGACTTGCTTTCAGAAGTTGTGGATGCTCCATACCTGGGGGGTTTTAAGAAGAGATTGGACAGCCATTTGTCTGGAATGGTATGGGATCTCCTGGTTGAGCATGGGGTTGGACTAGAAGACCTCAAGGTCTCTTCCAACTCTGTTATTCTGTTAACTCTTCTGTGCAAAATTAATTTTTGCACCTAATCATGTGACATGATTTCTCTGGTCTCTGATTTAAAACTACTTCGATCTTTGGCTCTATCTATCTATCTATCTATCTATCTATCTATCTATCTATCTATCTATCTATCTATCTATCATCTATCTTTCACTATCTCTCCATCCATCTCTCCATCCATCAACCACTAACTATCTAACTATCATCTATTCAATTTTAAATCCTGAGTTTGTTTCTTCTGACTTTTCACCATAACAGTCCTTCTTTCTGCCAGGGTTCATGATGCCTTCATTTGTTTAGAAAGCAGTCTTATCTTTCCCCAGGTTTCTGCTTGCCACACTGTCAGATATAAATTCATGCAGTTCATCTATATAACTTCATCTCTAAATTGTCTTCTCCAAATACAATAGCTTATTTATTAATTAACTTCAATAAGGCTACTTTATAATTTTTACGCATATAGGAATTATGCTAATGCTCACCTAACTGATGAGTTCCTAGAAAAAATTACCATGGACCTTGAATGGAGGATAAATAACATTTAACAGATAAAATTAAAGTCAGGGATCTCCAGAGTTCGTTGCAACCCCATTTTTCATGTCTGTTGCATGGTCTTGTACATGATGCACAGCACAACAAAGCACTGATTTCTTCACTTCAACATGATTCTTCCATTCTCTTGGATTTTAAAGTTATGAAAAAGCATGTTTGTGGTCATAATGGCTGTTGGGAAAATTCCAGTAAACCTCAATCACTAGCAGGTTGTTTTTTTAGACATCAGTTGCTCTGGTTTAATGAGGAAAGTAGAATCATGCATACGAAGAGAATCACAAAACCACCAACTAGTCCCACAACACAGTCACAAGAGGTTCATTACAAAATCACATTTTCTGGGCAAACCCTGATTGGGATGAGGAAACATCCACACTATGTAAGAAGTAATTTAAACAGATAGGTTTAGGTATGATTAATTTTAATTTAGTTTAGTTTAGTTTATTGTCATTGCACCTTGTACAATGAAATCAAACACTATCTTCAATGCACATCATGACCATGAAAATAAATACAAACACACAGCCTTCACACTCCACACATTGAATTGAAAACCCCCAACACCACACCAGCACTGTACCACACAATAGAATTCAAAAGAGCTACTGCCCTGGGATAGAAGCTGTTTTTCAGCTTATTTGTCCTTGTTTTTATTATTCTGTACTGTCTGCCAGATGGTAATAGTTCAAAAAAAGGGTTCCCAGGATGAGATGGATCTTTGAGAATGTTTTGAGCTTTCTTTAGGCAGCAGGAGCTGTAAAGTTTTTCCAAAGATGGGAGAGGGCAACCAATGATCTTCTGGGCAATGACATTAACCCTCTAGAATGCTGTCCTATCTGCCACTGTGCAATTGGCAAACTATACAGAGGTGCAGTAAGTTAAGACACTCTCTGTGGTGCAGCAGTAGGAGATCACTAGCAGTTTTTCATTCAGTTGTTGTTTTTTGAGAAGTCCTCTCTGCTGGGCCCTTTTGACCAGTGCTGCAGTGTGAGCACCCCAGGTCAGGTCCTCTTTTATGGTAACACCTAGAAACTTAAAACTGGCCACTTGCTCCATTCAGTCTCCATTGATAAGCAAGGGGCTGGATGTTTGATCTGTTCCTTCTATAGTCCACTAGAAGCTCCTTGGTCTTATTGGAGTTGAGAACCAAGTTATTGTCTCCACACCACGAAAGCAACCAGTCCACCTCATCTTGGTAGGCAGACTCATTCCCCCCAGAGATGAGTCCCACCACTGTTATATCATCTGCAAATTTAGTAATAGTATTAGTAGCGTGCATGGAAATGCAGTCTTGCACATAAAGAGTATAGAGTAAGGGATTCAACATGCAACCCTGTGGTGTACCAGTGTTAAGAATAAGGGCTGAAGAGGTATGATTACCTAATTTGATCCTCTGTGAACGGCCAGACAGGAAATCCATAATCCAAAGGCAGATTGAATAAGAAAGTCCAAGGTCCAGAAGTTTAGACACTAGTCTATGTGGAAGAATTGTGTTAAATGCAGAACTAAAATCTACAAAAAGCATCCTCACATAGCCCCCTCCCTCCCGCTGTTCTAGATGAGTCAGAGCAGTGTGAAGAGTGATGGCTATAGCGCAGGGATGGGATCTGACTGGTGTAACTACCGGTTCTGTCATGCGCATGCCTGACACGCGAGTCGCACGCCTGCAATTTACAACCTGCTGAGCTGCCCAGAGAGCTGAGCAGCGCTGTGTGCAAGTGCGCAGTGGTTGGAAAAGCCCTTTTCCCCTGCTTTTTCAACCGCAGCTGTGCCACACAAAGCAGCTGAGGTTGAAAAAGCAGGAAATAAAAGGACAGGTAAGAGCCCAGGCAGGCGGGTGGGCCAAAACAGCAGCAGACACAGAACAAGTTCTGTGTCTGCTGCTCTTCAGAACTACCGGTTCTATAGAACCGGACGGAACTGGTAGAATCCCACCTCTGCTATAGCGTCTTCTGTAGATCTATTTCTTCTGTATGCAAAGAAGATTACAGTCAGTGTTAGGTAGGCTTAAGAAGTTTACACTAAATAGACAAATTTGGGAAACACAAATTTAATTAGATAATTCTATGGTGCACTTTAGGGCAACATCCCATTCTTTCATATCAAGGTTGAGAAGGAATTTCAGACTGAAGGCACAACAAATGTTGCCATTGTGCTCCAAATTCTTACTCCTGTTTCCACCATCTCCCCCCACCCCTGTAGGTTTGCTCAGAAGGTTGGAACATTAAGATATAAAAGATTAACATTATGCATTCTGGAGAACTGCAGATAATGGCAGTCCCTAGTCTGGGTCCTGGTGAATTTTTTACCCCTCTGACCCAAACCACCCTGCCTCTCTCCTGCCACAGTTGATGGTAATGGAATAAATACAATATAGACAAGTAGACCTAGCTTTGCCCTTTTGTCAGAGAAAGATATAAAAGATGCATTTTCTCTATCATCCATGATGGGGTGAAGAATTGATGTTATGTTCTATGGGTGAGCAACTATTTTATTATTGGGGCTGGCAATCAGATGACCGTTTGGAAAACTGAATTTAAAAAAAAATTATGTAGATTCTTTAGTTCTTTCCTATCCAGAATACATGCTAATGATACATATCATGATATGAATATTTTCAAAGTTAGAGTTGTCCATGAAGGGTAGGGGGCAAACAATAAAAGCAGCATTGGCTCGTCCTGATGGAAATGCCACCATTTTGTGTTCTTTTTCTGTTTCTTCTCTTCATATAAAATAAATAATTATCAACCACAAAAAATCCAAACTTGAATTTATTTGTTTTAAGCTACTTGTATTTCTAAATAAAGATGGTCAAGAAAGCAAAACTCTTTTTAAAGAGCACTATGAAATATTCAGATATAGATGATAGATAGATAGATAGATAGATAGATAGATAGATAGATAGATAGAT